AATCTTGATCTAAGGAGACACAAAAGAATGAATGGGCAAAAGCCCATTCTGTCCTGTAAATTATACTACAATACAAGCATCACATTGGCAATTTGGATGTTCATGGATTGGTTCATCGAACACACCAGTCATGAACATGACGAAATCATGCATATAATCATTCAACCAATGAATCCATTTAAAGAAATTCTTCCTGTATGTACATGTACATGTAGGAATTGTAAGAGGCATAGAATCCCTGTAACAGTCAGTTTTTTTTTTTTTTTAATACAATTTTTGTCAGTAAAATACAATTTTGGGGATTAATGAATAAAGTTTTTGAACTCCAGAGGCAGGTCTGGTCCACTCAATCCGAACCTTACATGTAGGTAGGGAGGCCCACGAAGATTCTGCTGTATTACAAGGAATTCCCCTCTAAAGATACAGTTTTAAAAGCATTGTTTTATTAAACAGAAAGCTCAAAATTATCATCAATAATCATCAAACAGACAATTAAGACACAGTAACAGGTTACGAGAACTAAAGTGTAGGACACAACGTTAGAAAAATAGTGCAATGCCACAAATTATCAAACTGTTGAACTCTAATGCTGAAAACCTGAACATACAGTTTTAGAATTCACAAAATAGTGAATTGGAGAGTAATGTTTGAATGTTGCCTGTAAATGTGGAAATGTATTTACTCTTGCCTCAAAATTATTTCTCTGAAGTGCTTTCCCATTAACTTGGATGAAATAACTTTTCAATTACATTTTAATTTGTTTTATATTATACCAGCTCTGTGTTTGTGGAAATGTATTTACTCTTGCCTCAAAACTACTTTTTATAAATCAATTCCTTTGAAGTGCATTCCCACTTACGTGGATGAAATAACTTTTTTCAATTACATTTTCAATTTGTTTTATATTATACCAGCTCTGTGTTTGTGTTCCTCTCTCTCTCTTTGTTCTTCTTTCATACACTCTCTCTCTCTTCTCTCTCTCTCTCTCTCACGCTCCCCTCTCTCCCTCCCTCGCACTCCTCTTCTCCTCTTCTCTCTCCACTCCCTCTCTCTCAACATTCCTTTCCTTCTCTCCTTATCTCCTCGCTCCATATTTGCTTTATTTCTTTCTTTCTTCCCTTATGAGTTTAATTGAGGTTCTTGTCTTTGAATTTTGTTAAATAATGAATTGTAAATATGATGTTTTTTTATTTTTTAAAATCAAATCTCTGTAAATCATGCATGCAATTCAGCCATTGGCTGCGAAATGTTGATGAATAAATACCATACCTTACCTTACCTACATGTACCTTATTATTCAATATTTACGTAATACATGTAGACCCTAGATAGTGCCATTGATTTAGTGGATCGATATTCTCTGAAATTTATTATACAGATTTTAGATGACCCTTCACAGGCTTCAGACTCAGAGAAATAGAGCCTTTTGAATCACAAGGAGGTAATCTGTTTTTAAAAAGATTCTATTGGATTAGGGCTCTAGTGTATAGGGGAAAGCAAATATTTATGGTTTCAAAAAATCATAAAATGAGGGGGTGGTGCTTTTTTTTTTAATTGATAAAACGTAATGACAATGTCTACTTTTAAGAAAAAAATAATTCAGTTATGTCTTTTCTTCTCAGTTTGAAGTAAGGTTACTATAAAATGACCCCTAATTAATTTCAAAATGGCAGATTTTCACAGTGGGCCTCCCTACCTTATGGGCTTGGTGATTTATGAAATGTAATATTGTTATGACCAAGCCTTACTTGGATGCATTAATTTGCCTGTGTTGAGAGCCATGTAAACAATAGTCATAACAGCAGCAATCCCAGACAGTTAGTCTAGCTTAGGACTAGGCCAGGGACCAGGCAGCTAGCAGGCCAGTAATAGTACTCTAGGCGAACAAAATGATGTTCAAATCAAAGACTTTGATGTGACTGTGACAGATAATCACAGACTATATGTCCCTCTCTCTGCTTTCTGTTGAATGGTTACTTGATTAAAATAATGTAGATTCTGGCCAAAAATATCATTAGTTAGAGTCTTAGAGATCTTTCGCCGCTCGTTGCCTCCGCTATAGGCCTACCACATGTACATGTATACAAGACTAACTACACTGCATATGTGGCGCTGATAATTTTCATCATCGGTCCTGAATTTGACCTTTAAAAAGAGATAACAAACTTTCCCTTTTATTCCTTGTACAGGGTATGGAGTCTACAAGTATTCCAACAAGTTTTTCACGTATGAAGGCGAGTGGAAAGAAGGCAAGAAACATGGTAAGTGATTCTTTGGGTAAATAGAATTGTTAAAATTACATGAAGGTTGAAACAAAGATTTACTTTATTAATGTGCGCTCTTTGATGGAATATATATTGTTTCTGAAATTAGTGTTTGTTATATAATGTACTGTATAGAGATTATGAAATAATAGACGAGAATAACTGGTTTTGTTGTATGTTGCCATTATCATCAACATCATCATCATCATCATCAACATTATCATCATCATCACCATCATCATCATCATCATTATCGTCATCATCATCATCATTATTCTTCTTCTGTTTTTCTTGTTCTTCTTCTACTTTTTCTTCTTATTATTACTTTCATATATTTGTTATTTTCATTATCAACACCATCAATCATTTTTATCAGTACCAATGCTGTATAATCTTTGTTATGTTTGTATATAGGGCATGGGAAACTTCTCATGAGCGATGGTAGCTTCTACGAAGGAGAGTTCATCAATGGGGAGATCGAAGGTCACGGCTACAGGAAGTGGGCCACTACACGAAACACCTACTCTGGTCAGTTCTACAATGGGGAGCTGCATGGCCATGGGGTCATGACCTATGGCCCCGGCGGGTCGTATGAAGGGGAGTGGCAACATAATAGGAGACAGGGTATGTAGACTGTTTTCATGTTCTCTTCTTGATTAAGTGCTACACAAGTGCTTGCCCAATAGCTCTGTACAGTGTGCTTTTCTCTGATTGTCTCTTGTAAGCCATTGAATTGAATTGAATTTCTTATTGTCATGCACAAAATGAAATATATAAAATAAAATAAATCTCTTAGTACCAGCAATCGACAACTATGCCGAAGTATGCGGCAGAAAGAAATTTTGCTGCAGACTTGCCGCATACCAGTATGCCACAGGAACAGTCTGCGGCAGATCTGCGGCAGGATGAAATTTTGCTGCAGACTTGCCGCATACTAGTATGCCACAGGAACAGTCTGCGGCAGATCTGCGGCAGGATGAAACTTTGCTCCAGACTTGCCGCATACTAGTATGCCACAGGAACAGTCTGCGGCAGATCTGCGGCAGGATGAAACTTTGCTCCAGACTTGCCGCATACTAGTATGCCACAGGAACAGTCTGCGGCAGATCTGCGGCAGGATGAAATTTTGCTGCAGACTTGCCGCATACTAGTATGCCACAGGAACAGTCTGCGGCAGATCTGCGGCAGGATGAAACTTTGCTCCAGACTTGCCGCATACTAGTATGCCACAGGAACAGTCTGCGACAGGGCGAAACTTTGCTCCAGACTTGCGGCATACCAGTACGCCACAGGAACAGTCTGCGGCAGGTCTGCCACAGAAAAGTGGGAAATTATACAGTCTGAAGCAAGGCTATAGGCGGCCATTTTGTAGGACATGCAGTACCATATGAGGTTGCAGGCTGAGCCCATGATCTTGTAAATTCCTGTGTTAATTAGCACTGTTAATTGTCTTTTTAGCTTCTGTCAAACCAAACAATTTGCTTCAAGTTCAACTGGTACCATAAGAGGAATTTATTACATAAGAGGAGACTGAGGAATTAACGGACTGTTTAAAACTTTTTTGTTGTGCCATATGTGATCTTATCTTCAGCCCCACTAACTCACTTTTTTGTTGTAACTACCCAAGACGAAAATCCAATTGAAACCAATTGAACACCAATTGAATTTTCACTTGGTCTCAATAGGTTTTAACAGGTTTCAATAGGACTTCAGATGGTTTCGATTGGTCCAGATTGTCTCTATTGGACCAATTGGGCCCATTGGCCCCATTGGCCCATATGCCCCATTAGACTTTAATGGGACCCCAATTGGCCTGAAGTTGGAATTCAATTGGTCCAATTGAAACCAATTGAAAACCTTTTAAAGTCTAATGGGGCAGATTGGTCCAATTGAAATCCCATTAAAGTCTAATAGGGCCAATTGAAACCAATCATCTCATGCATATTCATTATAACTTTACACGTGTGACAGAAAAATACATTTATCATGATTTGTTAAGCAAATTAAGACAATGCACATCATTTTTGTGATTTCTATTTTCCTTTTGCCATTATCAACCAATAGATTATTTTGTCTGATCATGTTACAATTACATTCACGTTTTAGCAATAGATATATTGATTACTAACCAAGAAACTATGATTACTAACCAAGAAACAATATACATATTTAGTATATATATGTGTACGAGCCTGTGTCACTTTAAATGTTACTCTTGAATACACCTCAAATGATCTAAGTGATGAAGTTAATACAATTGAGAATAGAATATACCTAATTGGTAATATCGATATATATTGGTATTACCTAATTGGTAATATCGATATTACCAATATCGATTATGAAGTATCAATCAGTTTATCACTGGTTCTTCTACATGCATACTCTATTGCCACGTACTGGATATGAAAGAGTATGCGGCAGGTCTGCAGCAGGTCTATATGAGATATGAATATTCATGATGAAGAGTCTGCGGCAGGTCTGCAGCAGACTCTTCATCATACTGAAAGAGTATGCGGCAAGTCTGCGGCAAGTCTGCTGCAGACTTGCCGCATACTCTTTCAGTATGATGAAGAGTCTGCGGCAAGTCTGCGGCAGACCTGCCGCAGACTCTTCATCATACTGAAAGAGTATGCGGCAAGTCTGCGGCAAGTCTGCAGCAAGTCTGCGGCAGACCTGCCGCAGACTCTTCATCATACTGAAAGAGTATGCGGCAAGTCTGCAGCAAGTCTGCGGCAGACCTGCCGCAGACTCTTCATCATACTGAAAGAGTATGCGGCAAGTCTGCGGCAGGTCTGCGGCAGGTCTGCGGCAAAACTAATTTGCATGTGAAAAAGATGACTGTCTGCGGCAGGTCTGCGGCAGATCTGCGGCAAGTCTGCCGCAGGAGTATGCGGCAGGCTCATTTCTTTCCTATGGGAAGAGCTACATGTAGGATTACAGTTAGAAAATAGGTAAACTTAAAAGAAAGTAATCTATAGAATGATCACATCAAATGCACAATGTAGAGAGCTAGAAAGAAAACTCTCATTAGAGACCTCATGAGTTTTAAATTTTTGATGATTAAAAAAAAAATCATTCTCTGGAACTGAAGTTAATCTGTTCATGAAAAATGGGAGCATAACACCTCTCGTAAAGACTTTTTTGATTGGTCATTTTAGCAGAGTTGTACATGTATGAGAATTGAAAAATTTCTTCTCAGCACTTGTGGTATCAGATGAGTACACGTTTGAAAATGGCAAGCTCATGAACCTGCATTTTTATCTCTCTTTTTAATGCCTCCACCCACTGGAGGTGGTGCCGGATGCATTATTTAAATATATTTTTGAAGCTGTGATGTAAGACAATCTGTCATTTTCTTTGTATTTTTGTATGCAGGTCATGGTGTATTGAAGCTTTCTGATGGAACTCACTATGAAGGTTCCTTTCATAATAACATCCGACATGGTGAAGGATCACAAACATACGTGTAAGTATACAAATAATTCATGTTTCATACATGGCCCTGGGAAGCCGGGGTGCTGAGGGTGCTGAAGCACCCCCAGAAATTTTTCAGGGGGTGCACAGCACGTATATATATCTCAGCACCCCCGATGAAAAAATCGTTCCCAGGGCCCTGGTTTCATTGTTTCTCTATGGGTATGAAAAGATGTGACCAACCAATGCTACATCAGATTCCCCTTAGATTTGAGTGGCATTATCACAAGTAACTTATATACTTAGAATTCATTTTGTTTGTAATTTTGTATGATCTTTGATTTGACAATCATGAATTTGGAATCTAATCAGTCTATCATTAAAGGGAAGGTTGAGTTCTGTTTTCAGACCGCAAATGCCTTCAAAGTGCATGGTTATTGCTCTTATTCTTATCTATGACATTTATAGTGCCCTTTTAGAACCTAAAATTGCTATGAAGGTAATTTTAGACCCGAAAATGTGTGAAATTTAGCCAATACGATCATACCAATTCAGCTCCACTTTAAAAAAAAACACGCTGACCGTTAAATAATTATTTAATTAAAAATATATAAGAAATATAAGCAACACGAAAATTCCAACAAAAAAGCCAACATCGGCATTGGCTGAAATACAACGTAAAAGGCGTTATTTCGTTTTTTTCAACGTTTTTTTCAAATTTTTCAAAATATCTAATATTTGTGGTGGTTACACAAGTATTAGAAATCGTTATATTTCAGCCGTCTCTGAACCCATTTTGATCAAACAAAGATGATTTTGTCATTTAAATATTATGTTCTTTCAGATTTGAAACTCAGTTTTTCATTATCTCACAAAAAAATTATTTTGTGTAGCGCCCTCTGCAACAGAACTCAACTATCCCTTTAAAGGTACTTTGTCCCATTTGCAGGTCAAAAATATGAAAAGGTTAAATTCCAATGGCGTTTAGAAGACAATACTTACTTAGAACTTCCCTCAAAACGAAAAGTTTTGAAAGGGCTTTTGAGGAAATATAATGACCATTTGATGTCAAATCGACATAAGTGATTGCAATCATCTAAGTAATAGTCTGATTTTTAGACCCTTGTACCGAATGGTATTTTATGTATCTTATTACCAAAGATAAAAAGATGTCAGTCAGTCACTCAATAGTGTCTGACAAGGAATTCTAGAAGGTGAACGGTTTCCTTGCATAATTTGAATACTTGGACACTGCTAACGTTTCAATTACACAGATACATGTAGGACATACATGACATGACATATTCATAATTCCTGCAAAGTTCTACAGAATTAGATGTTGGCTGCAAAAGGGACATAGAATCTTTAATACAGTTATTTCATATGGGTTTGCATTGTTTAATTTTTGTATTTCATTTCAGGAATAACGATCGCTATATTGGTGATTGGATAATGGACAGAAGACAGGGAAGTGGAGAGTTACGCTGCCACGATGGAACAATATATGATGTAAGGAAATACAATTAATCTTGATAAGACATTCTCCTTAACCGCTACTAATATTGTTAGAATGCAACATATTTTCAACAACAAAATTATTAAAAAACTGATATGTTCATGAATTTTTTTTGATGGCCTCTCAGTCATTTTGAAAAAAGATCATGATCATGGAATCAATGTATAGCTAGTTTCACTTCAAAGTCTTTGATTGGGGACATGCAATATATGCAATTTGATCCACAGAAGAGGTTATGTGCTGAGTATATCATTAAAACATCAAATAAGATCTCATAGCATAGTTTTTGGTTCAATTTTAGTCTCATTATAATACAAGGCTACCATGTAAAATTGTTTCTGGTATTCCTCAAATACATTTTGAAATTCTTCATTAAATTGATAAATTGCTAGATAATGATGACTTTAGCCATTGTTTTCTCTTATAACAACCAAGGAAAGATGGGAACAAAAATTGAGATGACTGATTTTAATAGACCATTTCATAGTTATCACATGGAAAGCTTTTTTTTTGCCCTCTTGTATCATAGAATGTACCGTAGGTGCACACATGAATAATGATTACATAACATGAGCACGTATCCATCTCGATGGGTTTTACAATTTTATCAGAGATGATCTTTATCTGCCGATGCCGCCGCAGATAGTATTTACAAATGGCTTAATGAAATCACATTATTTTGATGACATTAATGACAGGGTCAATGGAGGAATGATATGTATAACGGACAGGGCACCATGATACACTGCTCAGGGATGGTATATGAAGGAATGTGGATCAACAACAAACCCGCACGTAAGTTGCTAGCTTAGAGAAGAATTCTAATGTGACTTAATTGATCCCAGTGTTTGAGATCTTTATATGTGTGATCTGTATATGTGTTTCATTCATATGCAGATTATACACAAATCTCACACCCTAAAATTTGCCTGTTGCAGATAAGGCAAAAGCTACTCATATAGGCTTCTTTATTGACAAAAAAAATATCTGAATTACCTTGCTGAATGAGTTTAAAAGTATGCCGGCAATTGATTCAAAGATTAATCATTTGTTGAATATACACATGGTAGAATGCTGTAGGTTTTTTTTTTTTACCGTAGTAAATTCATAAATGAAAGTTTCATACCATGAAATGATCAAATCACAAGTGACACATTAATGAAATTTGTATTTCACAAAATTTTCTGTTTTTTCAGTAATCTATGTTACTTTGAAAGGATTCTTAACCAACCCCAAATTCCCAATACTACATATTTAAATCAGGACATGTAAAATATCCTGTTTTTGAAATCTTACTGAATGTTATTTTAGGAGATGTTCTATTTCATTCAATCATGTCTCTGTATCATTGAAGAGACTTACGTATTTATTTTGAGATAATCTTTTGTGACATTATGAATTGCAAATAAAAAAAATATCCTGTTTTTGAAATCTTACTGAATGTTAATTTCTATTTTCATTCAATCATGTCTCTGTATCATTGAAGAGAAATATGTATTTATTGTGAGATATTCTTTTGGGACAATGATGTTTTGATTGGTTTTTGCAGAAGAAGCAGCCGAGATCGTAATCCTGGGCGAGCAGGTGATCGAGCTTCAGCAGGGCCAGCCGTTCACCATCGAGGTGGAGATCAGGACCGCTGAAGGGGAGGTCGTCGACTGCGAGCAGAACCGTCGACTACGGATATCCGCCGGGTTTAAGCATTACCTCCCCAACCAAGGAATGCCTCTCTTTGACCTGATAGAAGAGATGGAGGAAACTCCCATCCCGACCCCGTAGTAAGATACCTTTATTTATATCTCATGGAAATGTTTTGGTGTAGTTCATGCACGAAACTGTGTACGGTTACCATCATCATCATCATTTTTATATTTATTATGTCAAAATATTTTCCTTTTGTTGATGACTGATCTCCCTTACATTTAGTGCAATGTCCATATGCAGTTGATAAAATGTCTGACATATCGCAGTTTGTAGCCCCCCCCCCCCCCCCCCCCCAAAAAAAAAAAAAAAAAAATTAAAAAATTAAAAATTAAAAATTAAAAAAAATCCTGTAAATAAGAGACACTACTAAAGATCACTGATGATAGCTACCTCATGTATTCCCAATCTCACATTCATGTTCTCTTTAAAAATTTAATCAATAATGCCTATAAATAAAATTATTAATTTTTGAGGTCTCCTCATGTAAGTCATTTTGACCTTCCTAAACTGCTCCCTTTTTTTTCTCTTTAAGTGGTTACGATATTGTAGCGTACCCTCTCACAGACTATGAGAACCTCAAGGAGAAGCTCTCAGAATTTGTCTTGAAGCCTTCGACTGCTGCTACAGATGCTTTGACTGTTGTAACGGACGCCATGACGGCAGATAACGTCAGCGTAACGCTGGAGGAGGATGGGGAAGGAGAGGCAGATCTAGGACCAGAGGTCGCACCAAGCGCTGAAGTACCACCTAGTACAGGTACGCAGCGGTATTGTATTGTTAGCGACCCTCATTCACTCCCGATGACAATTGCTCCAGCCTATATTTCATCAAAGATTTGGGGTAGAGTTAGGGTTGTGGTTGGGTTTAAAGTTAGGTTAGGGTGAGGCTTAGGCTTAGATGTGGTTTTAGTGTTGGTTCCAGGGTTAAAGTTGGAATCAGATTAGTAAATAAAATCGATCATACTTGGTTTCGGAGACCAGTACAAAAAAATTACTCTTGAATATCAATATAAGACAAGCGTTATTCATTAAAAACAAAGAAGAAAAAAAAAGTATTAAAAAAAAAAACCCTTGTCTTTCTAAAGACTGATTTCTTTTTCTTGTTTCCTTTGTTTGTTTGTTGTTTTAGGGGGTTGCTATATTTCTCTCTCTCTCTCTCTCCCTCTTCTCTTCTCTTTTCCTCTCTTTTCTTCTCTTTTCTTCTCTTCTATTTTCTTCTATTTTCTTCTCTTTTCTTTTCTTCTCTTCTCTCTTGTATAGCATTATTTTTAGGGTCAGAGTCAAAGTTATGAATTTGGTAAGTTCAGGATATTCACTCTAGATAAATTGTAGCCTGCGCATTTGTCATAGAACCATATTGATTGGATTAACCTACTTTTTTTTTTCTTTTTTTACCCAGCTGCTGAAACAACAGTAGCCCCCAGTGAGATGACAGGAGAAGAGATCTCAGAGTCGCCCCTCCCACCTCCAGTAGATAACAGGATAGTGGAGAAAGGAAAGGCAGAATTTTTAGTAAGATATATGAATGCATGCTAAACTTCCTTTAGTATTAGTGCTGTAACATATTTTCTGTGATGACATTTGTCATGGGGTTTATTTTGTCAGAGATACACCCTAAGTGTTAGTTTTGCATTTGGGTTAAAGTCAGGGTTAAGTTAAGAATTCAGCTTGTGTCAAATATTGTCTACAGAACAATGGTTGTTGGGACATGCGAATCACAACCATTGTACTAGGTGTTGGAAAATCTAAGAAATTTATAGATATGTAAAAACTACAAAGTATATCTGAAAGAAAATATTGATTGAGCTCATTGAAAGGCCATGGAATTTTGAAATACATGAACCGGTAGGTCATAACAAAATTATTATAGAAGGATCGCAATTAAACAAATTTCTATAGGTGAATTTCAAAATGGTTATTTGCTATGAAAGAGGTTCTTAACATTGCTTTTGGTGAACGACATTGTTGATGATTTGTTAACATTTCAACATCACCTCATGTAAAACTTTAAGACGATGTTTTTTACTGAAAAACTTCTGTTCCTACATCACTGATAATATGTATAAATTACTGAATTCATTATTTGTTAACCAGTGATTTTTCTCCCATTTTATTTCCATCTCTTCCTTGATTATTAAAATCAAATTTGAAACACCCCTCTTACATCTACTCTCCCTTGTTCATTGTGGTCATTTACTCCTTTCATACAACCTAATCACCATGACAACAACACAATAAATAATTGACCAACCAGAACCTTTATCTGCCCGGCGTCTCCCCTGTCTATTTACCCTATGTCATGGCTGAGTTTGACAAGGGCAGAAAGAAGAGCAAGGCTGTAAACAAGATGATGACGTCATCTGAACATGAGGGGGAAACCCCTACAGGTAGATTTCGTTCCTTCAAGTTGTCATCCTTTCTCCAATTTTAGCATTGCAACTTTCATAGCTGCGTAGTTCCTGCAGTTTTTCATTCACACATCTCTTCATGCTCTTCCATCGTTGCTGTAGCTGTTTAGTTCAGAATTTGCATGTTGCAGTTTTTTAATTGAATTTAACAATGTTCAAATTGTTTTATATTCAGAATTGTTTCCCTTTTGTATATGTACAAACATATATGACGTCTTCTGTTTACTACAGATATTTCTTGCTTTCATCCACAAATTAGAGCAGTGCACATTTTTCTCCTGTTTTTAAAAACAAACTATTTTTTTGTTTTGTTGTTGTTGTTTTTTTTCCTTTTTTCAGGAAACTTTATTTTCATATTTTAGGCACAGTATTAGACTGTCATCCCATTGATTTTATCCTTCACCTTTTCAATTTCAATAATTTGCTTTGTTAGCTTGTTATTAAAGTTATTCGTGCATAATGATTTTATATTCATACTTACATGCTAATCATTGTGCATGTTGAACTTCCCTTTTTTCAAATATATTTAGCATGCTGCCAGAAATACTGCTGTGCTTCAAGTGTCACACAGCATTATATTTCCCTTTTATTTAAATGTATACAAAACTAATTTTTTTCTGCATGACATATTTTACAGTTTATAAATATACTCACTTTGTGTATTGTTGCTTTTGTTTGTTGCTACTATAAATTCACATGTACTTGCAGTGAAATATTATAAAGAGTCAGCTATATCAATTCTCATACTATGTAGTTTGTTCGTGATATTTTGCAATCAAGTATAATCACTTATATATTGCATGAAATCATTATTTATTTTGCTAATATTGTATCACAAAAGCACAGTATACATATGTAATACTGCGCTACACCAAACTAGTGAAATGGGTGTTATGCTTGACAGGAATAGAGTATTTCATTTATCAAGTGAGTGTTTGCTCTGTACGAAATGTTTTTTAAATTGTGAAATTATTTTTTGTGTTTATCAAGCTGTACGTGTTTGCCATTAAAGCTTATAAATTGCTTTAGCATGAAAGAAAAAGTTGTCCCATTTGCAGCTCACATTTCTGCATCTAACAACACAGAGTCACTGACCCATTGTTGCGTGCAGTAGCCATCCATTTACAGGTTTTAAAAAGGCGGTGGCTCTTTAGAGGCGGTTTACCGCGTCATATCTGAACAAACCTATTTGGTCTCAATTTCACTAGCGGTACTTTTAACATATACATGTATATATATAAAATGTATTTGTGGTACTCCTGTACAGCTAGTGAGGTAATGATATTGGCATCCGTCTCGATTGAAGAGTAAGATTTAGAAAAGTGATGATGTAGAAATATTTATATTTGAAATTTAAAGAATGGTGTGATAGATTGTGCTACTAGCGATTTAAACTGTATAGCTGTTGAAATTTGACTTTGTTTTCCATAATTGAAATTTTACAGGATAGAAAAGCTAAATTATATGAATGTTGTATGTACTGCCTCTTACCGTGGTGTCTGTCCTTTTAGCTGACCGCCCCCCCCCCCCCCCACCTCCTCGTCTCCTTCAAAAAAGAGAAAAATCACTTACAGTAGTAAAGGTTAGGGTTTGAATGTTTGAGTAGGTTTAATATTTCATTTACTCTTTAAAAGACACTGTCTTAGAGACATCAGGGCTTAAATTAATCCATGGCCATGGCTGTGGATGCCCTTTTGATTGGCCTCAATGCCCCTCTCATTGGCCTTGGAGATATTTTGTGCCCTTTCCAATTCTTCCTATTTGTGCTGTAATATAGGAATGTGCCCTATAGAAAAGTGGCCTTGCCCTAAAAATATGAAATTTAAGGCCTGAGACATGGTTTAGTTCTAAAATTCAGTGGCTTACTCTTATACCCATATGTATAAATTAAAGGTCCATTGATGACATCAAATGAATTACATGTGAATTTGTCTCAAACATTAGGAACTTGATTGTCTGAAATAAACAAGTTTACACCCATCAATGCCTTGTTTAGCATGGAATGTGAATTTACACATCACTTGTTCATTATCGGCTTATTGATGATGTGTATGGATTATGATACATCTATATATATTACTACAAGTACTGAGTGCTATTGTTGGATATTCCATAACTCTGTATCCAAAATTTGCTACTTCAATGGTTGTCCCTCATACCATAAGGACATTGTATTGATATGAATAAGGTGTACTAATTTATTATATCTCGATGTACTAACTTTTTTATTCATTATTAGGCCCACGGACTGATGTTTAATTTTGCATCATCTCTTCATTACGCTTGAAGAAAGTTGAACCATTAATTAACGTTTTATTTCTTTCCATTTCTCACAGATACGGACCTAACATTGACTTGAAATATCTTTCCCTTGAAGTTCCTTACCGTGAGTTTATCAGAAGGACACAGTGCTTCCCTTTTCCTGTCTTAGGTCACCGATTATTCTTAGCCCTCAACATGGAACTTTAGGAGGAAGCCCAGAAAGGAGGAAAGAATTTCTGTACCCACATTCTCACCATTAAACCTTGTTTTGATCATGAATGTATGACACTCATTTTTACACCTACAGTGCTGTAATAGAATTAATAATTATCTTTTTCACTTTAAGAATGTTGTGCTGGCACCAAAGAAAATTCTGTTCCAGTGTTCTGAAAAGATCAATGCTGATAGTGAACTCGTGACACCCATCTGTTACACTTTCTGTGCTAATGTTTTGCTCTCGCTCTAGCACCAGAGGAATGGTGTTGATCTTAAAGGGATGACACCTATGTTACACCTCCAGTGCTAACACCCAGTGTATTGAAGGATCTCGTCCCCCCCCCCCCCCCCCTCCCTCCCTGCTCTTAGCTACAACTTGGTTTAGACAAACACTGACCAAGGCCTCAAACGAAAGCCCCACTGCACTACTTATAGCTACTTGCGCCCTCTATATAGCAAACAATGCCTAATCGTTGCCTGTTGGTCCACTATGATCCTCTTTTTCTTATGTTACCATAATTAAGAGCTGATTTGATGAGATAACCACCTGTCAGTGACCTTACAGGGAGGTCTAACCCCCCTGCCAAACTAGTGCAGATGGGCTTTAATGAAGGACTGTAAATACCTGACAACCCTATTTTACACCTACAGTGCTAATAGCCAATGCATTTTGACACCTATCCTTTACACCCCAAGGATGTAGTGCTGCCTCCTGCTCCGTTCGGCTATCAACCATTCTCCATTCTTGACATCACCCTTGAGGAAGAAGCACAGAAGAAGGCCAAGAACTCCAAAACGGCCGGTCTCGCAAACCAGCTGAGGGTAGGAGCCAAGCTGAACAAAAGCATAGGTGACCGTTAAACTTGATCAAACCTTGCACGTCGTCTAACAAATTCTATTTCAGAACATTCTATAACTCACTTAAAGGGAGTGTATCATGGCAAATACTGGTTAACGCCATCTACATGTACGTCTCCTTTTGGACAACTGCACGTAAACGAATGGACTTAATTGACTGGGTCAGCGAGCGCTAGCGTTCGCGAAACAGACCGAAGTTCTCCTCGCGCTTCGGTTTCGCATATCTTGCATGCACGTGAATGCTGCGTTTACGTCGTCCGTAGCCGTATTATACCCGATTGGCCTCTGAGTCGAGTAGGGCCACGAGAAAGACACATAGTCTCGTCATGATACACTCCCTTTAAAATACCCAAGTCACACCAGCAAGACCATCCCCAGACCCACAACAGACTAAACAAGGAATACGCCAAATGGCAAAAAATATGTTGGTTTGGAGTCGATGAGGAGTCAGTTCGGTGGAGTGACTGAGGTATATACTCCACCTCTGATTTATGGACTAATTAACATGGGTATGTTTCATATCGGTCTGTCTTTCTTTCTTTCTTTTTGTTTTGTTTTGAGAAACTTGGTGTGGGGGTTTCAGAGGCACGAATAACACAGCTATTTGACTTGGTGATTGGGATTTAAACTATATCCAATTTTTACTATATCTGTTTTAGTCCTTCATTTCCAGACTCATTAATTGTTTTGGCGTTCTGATTTCTAAAATCCTCCTTCTAGTTGTTCATACACTGTAAGATTAGGAAGGAAGTTATTAATTAACTTTTATTAAACAGACTTGTAATACAGGTTATTATTTTTTGTTTTGTTAAACCAAGCTTAAAGACGCTCTCGTAAATTTATCCCAGTGCATTTTCTGTAGATATTTTTTGATAAAATCAAATACGCATAAGGAGTTTTTTTTAATGCTGACAAGTATGAGATATATATGGCAATGTTGCCGATGTAGTAATGTAAACTTATAGATGGTTAAATCATTTTTTGCAACTTTGTGCTCTAACATTATCTACCTCAATATTTGTAGGTAATAGATTTAATAGAGCAACTTGATTTATTTCTAATATTTATACTTGGTACAGTCAGATCAGTTTTAACAACAGCCTGTCTATAAAGTCCACAGTTTTTGTTTCGCTTGAAAATGGTTTGTTGTTGAAATATGTACTAAAGGAACCTGTACATAAGACCCCCTGCCTAACAAGACCACTTTTCTTGGCTCCCTTGAGTGATCCTATATACAGGTTTCCCTGCAGTTACTAGCGACCAAAGCACTTGCAGGACTATTCGGTATATGCTAGCTTACACTCATTTATTTCTATGTCAATTACTTATTGACATGGTTATAGTAGTGGGAAGGAATCTCGATCGTGATGCTTCAGTTTCTTTTCTTCAACAGTACTTTCATACTGTTTTCTTTGATCTTGTAGACTAGACTGGTTCACATATGTGTTTGAATTTTACATGGCTGGCTGTTCCACCCATACATGGCGTGCCTCTGATGATTTTCTTTTTGAATTCTTCAATCACCTGCTATTTTCTTTTGAGTAGGAAGAATGAACATTTGCTTATTATTTGTTGATATGTCAGGGAAAGCATCAACAAGGCTTTTGTGTGGTAGAAGAAGTAGACATTTAATTTTGACACATATGTGAACAGGTCTATGGACCTGAACTTTGTATAGCACCAGTTTTCTCTGTGTTTCAATCAACTAGTTTTCTGATAGACCTCACCAACGTTTGACCTTTGACCTTTTTCTCAGCTTCACCCACGCCTAGTGGCAAGCAATCTTTAGTCTCTCCCTCGCCCAGCGCCCAGGGCCGCTCTGCCTCTCGCACGCCGAGCGGCAGGGTCCCCGCGGCTGCTTCTCCTTCGCCTAGCGTATATCGCGAGACACGAACACCCGGTATAGGTAGGCTTCCTGCACCAACTTCTATTTCGGGCCCAGGCCCTGGTTTTTGGTTTTGTTTTTGTCACGTGCACTCTTGCTGTGTGTAGTTGGCACAAAATAGAATGTTTAATGCGTTGGCGGGCTAGAAGCAGTTAGCCGCTTCTAGAGGCCCCGATCTCCCATGTCTAACCCAACAAGCCGAGGTGGCACTTTTTTTTGTTTTTCTTTCAAAAGGCCATCAAAAGATAATACTTTCATAAACAGGGACAGAGGAAAAAAAAGGCATTAATTGTTGTAAAATGGGATTTGAATGCTCAGCAAATCATTTTAAAGATATATTGGTGAAAAGTGGGGAAAATTGCATTGTTTGTCAAATTGGATTTGAAAGCTTGGCGTGTGATTTTCACAAAAGACTGGTGAAAAGGGGGATATGCATTTTGTTGTCACACGGAATGTAAATGCTTGGCAAATAATTTAAAAGGAAAACAGTGAAAATTGAGGAAAGGTCGATGCATGACTTGTTCAATGGGATTTGAATGCTCTGTAAATGATTTCAAAGGAAAACTTGTTGAAAGGGGAAATTTGCGATGGTTGCATAGTTGGTTGGAAATTGTTATGTACGATTTTAAGGAAAACTATTATAAAGGGGGAAAATACTGTTTTCTGGAAAGATTTTTAGTTTAAACACTTTGCAAGTGATTTTACAGGATGAAAACTTTGTGACAAGGGGATGAAATGCATTACTTGTTAAATAGGAGCAGTGGATAAGACCCAACAGAGGGACAGATTTTGTACTGTTTTTATCTTGTATCCAAATCCAGCCTAAGGGTGAATTATTCCCAAAAGCGTTTTCCCCACCTATATCACTCTCTTAACAATGTCTTTTTTATGCAAATTGTATGATATATTTGTAGCATATATTTACAGTTAGATTTGACACCGAGTCTTTGATTCGCACAGATATTGTTATTGCTTTAAATTTGACTTGTTATCGAGCATATTCTCCAAATTTAAACAGGAAATATTCAAGCTCTTATTAAGAGACAGTTATTTCATTGAATTATGTTCTATTCATTGAAGCACTGAGGTCCATAAAGTTTGTGCAGCAGTTTTCAAACCATGTCAGGAATTTAATGGTTAAAAATATTATACAAACTCTACTTCTTCTTAAGTATTTGAGATATTGCTGCTATTATTTTTTAGATTTATTTTATTTATTTATTTATTTACTGGGGGTATTATTATTATTATTATTTTTTTTTTTTTTTTTTTTTTTTTTTTTTTTTTTTTTTTTTTGGGGGGGGGAGAGTCCAAAGAGAAGAAGAAACTTAAAGGTCTTCAACTCCACCTGTATCATTGATGTCACTAGATTAAAATAGTTTTCTCGTACGATTCCTAAGAATAACATTTGTACACAGACCCTAGCTCCTGTCTTTGCACTCTAAACATACTACATCTTGCACCAACTTAATTGGCTCTAATATAGAAGTTCGTTATTCATAAATAGAATATTATATCTGATTTCTTTCATATACCTCGAGTTTGTTCTTACCCATCATAAAATTGAACCCCAACCCTCCAGTATTGTGTTAATGAATCCTGTTCATGCCTTGATCCGCCAGAGGCATGTTTCCAGGCTGTCGATCTGTCTGTGTCACCTATTGTTACCAGGATACCTCGAGAACCATTGAAAAGATTTCTTTAATATACCTCCAATTGATACTAACATTGTCATAATTTCAATAATGTACAACAAATATTAAGCATAAAATAGTTCAATAATAACAAAAAAGAGAACTTGACACTAATTTCATTAAATAAAGATAATTTAGTTTAGCAATTACATGTACTATATTGAATAGATTTTACAAAAGTATTTGTACCTGAATAGGAGATGGTGATTTCACTGAGATGTGTGTATATGAGACATATTTATAAGGTCCTTGTTTATCTTTGTGCAAACAATGTTCATTTGCATTGAATTTCACAGTCATGAACTTGTTTTGAACGTAAATGAGGAAGACATGTCTTTTCCAAGTGAGAAAACTTCAGATAATATTGACATTTTGACAGTATGAACTTCCTACAGTACTAAAATGCTTAACCTGAAAAGAAAAAGAAAAAAACGGCAGGACCTTTGAATCATCAGTCAGCTCCATGCAGACATAATGGTAACAGAAAAGGAACGAAACATGCTATCTTAGAGTTTTCTTTCACAACACCAAGTTCTTTCATCAATACCGTTAGGATCACACTTTTTCATGCATAATTTTCTTTCTTCTGTGAATGCTTTCATTGTCGCCATGGCAAAAATGAATTCCCGCTATGTACTGTGCATTGTCTACTTGGTAAGCAATGTGCAAACATTCCTTTTTTGAAGATGTTTTTGTTTAGTTTGAAACTTGCCCTACTTTTTAGGGGATTCTCTTGCAGACTACCTTTACATACATTGAGACACATGTATTATCATGTTTTCTTTGCAATGTTTAAATGTGAAGTAGAGTAGTCGTGTAGTTTAAGATTTTTTTTGGTTAAACTTGCCCATTTAGGGGTTTCTGTTTTGCAAATTGCCTTCATACGAATTGAAATGGTACATGTATAATGTTTTACTGGCAATATTTAAGTGTGAATTAGTTGTGAATTAATTTGTCTAATGAAGTGTATTCATGCAGTGTTTATGACAGTTATCTGCTGTGTTTTTGTTTTTTCCAACATTTATTTGCAACATAGGTCGTATTTTCTAGTTTTAGATTTTTGATCCCTTGAACATCATTGGCATGGCATTTAGTTTAGTTTTTGTTTTAAAGCAAAATGGGGGAAATATGTTTTTGTTTGTTTGCTTTCTGTCGCCATAAACGCATTGAAGTAGTTGATTTTATTTGTCATGCTCCAAAGACCTTCACAAAGAAGCCAACTGTCTGAAAGATTGCTGCAAAAGAACTGCAAATGCTTACATTATATAGAAATGCATGTTATTAATAGCATAAATGTTTTTAGCTGCATTCATATTTTATGTTTCTTGGGCCGTATTCAATTCAATTCGCGTATTAAGTCAATTTTTCCTTTTTGCATTTGGCTTGGCTAAGTAAAATGTCTTACACTCGTGCTCACATCGAAGTAAGCTGACTTACTGATAACCATTGTGATGTCACAGGCCTGCCGAGCAAGGCCTTCAAAATAATTAGCTTAACTCAGCTAGGGAGGTGTCTTAAAAGGTAAAATAGTTAACAAAAAGCTTCAATTCAATACTGAAGTTGGCTCTAGCGTAAGTATTTTACCTAACCTAAAAAATGACTAAAATACTAATACTTCTAACAAAAATTATGGAATTGAATACCGGCCCTCGTGCTTTCACCTAACCCATTTTGACTGCATGTTTACACCGTTTCTGCAGTGCTTGTTTCCAATGCACTCAAGTTTGTTAATGATCTAGACAGCGCTGACGAAGGTAACTGAAATTTTGTTGATGTTGTGCATAAAAAATTCTCATTTGTTGTTTGTTCATTCTAGAATATATATATCTATGTTACTTCAGTTTACGTTTACTCAATCATGACTTTATGAACTTCAGTGTACATCAGGGGCTTGTTGTTTTATAGTGCGGGGGGGGGGGGCACAATCTGCCCATGATGCCCTTTGGAAAAATATAAAGTGGCATATCTTAACTGTACAAAGACAAAATTGTGCCTCCTTTCAAATTTTAAAGCTGAAAGCCACAAGAAAAAATATGTGAGATTGTGCCCCAACTCAGACCCCCTTTTGTTTTTAAAAAAATCTAAATCTGCTCCTGATGTACATGTGCATAGTTTTTATACTCAATACCATGACCCACTCTAAATGTTTTGATCTCATTTTGGCAGAGCTACTTTTGTTTTTAGTATAACTATTTATAATCATGTCTGAATTTAACTTATCTGATTTAGAATTAGAAAATATGTACCCATCGTTTCATTCTACATTAGCCCATAATATATTATTTTAGTTTTAAATGAACCTCAAAATTTATCTGATTAAAATATGTTCTTTAGATTAGAATATATTCATTCATGGTTGTTTTCTGTGTGTTATAAACTGCTTCATTAGAAAGAAATTCCTTTTCCTGTTTCAGCGCCAAAATTCCTTTTTTCAATGTAAAGCTTCAGCACTATATATACAGCATTATAATATGCAATCAATTGTAGTAAAAGGATACCACTATTTTGATGTAATTCATTTTGTTACGACTGCATGTTTTTCTTGAATTTGAAATCTGGGTGAGTCCTAAGGTGTTTGTTTTTTTTTTGTCTTTTTTTTTGTTTTACTGGTACTTATCTTGACTAGGGATATTACTTCAAGAAGTGCTATTCTTGAAGTTATTTCCTGAGTCAAGATAACTGAGATCAGAGAGAAGGAAATAGAGGAAAAACATTCTAGGTTTCTAAGAAATACCATAAAAATATCTATAGAGAAAATAGCACCCCTCTCCCCCCCCCCCCCCCAAAAAAAAAAAAAAAATAATAATAATAATAATAATAATAAATGAATATGCATGCAAAATACAACCAGAGAGAAGTTACAGTGGTTTTGTTTCCAAATGAATTTCCTCTATCTGTTTGTCTGTCTTTGTCTCTAGCTAATTTTCTTTTCCTCTCTTTTAACCCTCCCCCCCCCCCCTCTTTGTTGTTCTCTCTCTCTCTCTCTCTCTCTCCCTCTCTCTCTCTCCCTCTCTCTCATGTCTCGACCTTTCTGTCCTGTTTCTATCTCTCTGTCAAATCTAAATAATTTTACCTTCTCTATTAAAAATATAGAAATATTCTCTCCTTTCTGCTCTCTCCTTTTATTTGTCTCTCGAGTTAGAAAATATACACAGATAGGAGGCAAATATATTGCATTTTACATGTAGAACATTTGCCCTAAGAGTTTTTATTTTTGTGTACTCTGTGCATGCTTAGTGCTAGAGTTTGATGTATTCTTCATCTTTTTTATGTTTTGAATTTGTTTATTATTCACATATTTTGAATCTTAGACTACAAGCTTGTTGTGAATTTTACTCAACTTCCCATTATGATGTCATCCAAACCATTTGTTGTTCAAATAATGTAGATAAAAACTTTCAAATGTAAAGCTGTATATTTAGTAGTTCTTACCGAACATATGATTTAACATCATTATTTTTCGATGAGCTTACACATAATGTACACATTCATGGTTATTTTCATCACTGTAGATTTCATTCCACTTGTTTAAAGCCCAAATAATATATTCTCATATCAATCAATGATTTAGGGTAATGTTTTCATTACAACGCTGTTCGCAATTTTATTTAATTATGAAAGAAACCATTTCTAAAGTTATTCTTAAATTATTAATCATATAATAAATTAGGATGATTGTTTACCATAATGCTTTGGAACCATACAAATTTCATCAAATTTTCTAAACCTGTCTGAAAATCTCTAACAATCAAAAGCACTGTACACGAGTAAAGTCACCAATACATTGTCGGTACATATATGTAGGAATAATCAAATGTGGCGCCAGAATTTGGTCCAAATTTTAAACTCTGTTCTTTTCATATTTGAAATACGAGAACCTTTCAAAAGAAGTCCTTTTTGTGGGACATACTATTCTTATTATTAGTATTTTCATTTCAAGGAGTGAGAGCGCTCACAAATTATTTTGCACTTCAAAAAGAACTTGACCTTCTCAATAATTATTTGCTCTCGACTCTTAAACCTACAGATGAAATCAACATGAAATCAGATCAATTCACCGTGGACAAGCTCAAGGACTTCAAGCTGAGCAAAGCGAAGAGAGAGAAGTACTATGGTGACCTCAGATATGCTAGACCAGGTCAGTGTAGTGATTGCTCACCTTTGAGAACGGGTCCACGAACAGGGCCCCATTTCACAAAGCTTGTCATCAGTGAGAAATGATAGTTTTTGTTATAAGCTACTGAAATGCTTGCTTCTGACTGGTTATCAGCAGATTTGTCACTGTTTTTTGTCATTTGTCATTGAAAAAGGTTTTCTGAAATGGGGCACAGAAATGTTGTTATAATATCATTTAGAAAGGGGCAGTGGAGGAGGAAGGGGAGGGGTGTTAAGTGTTAATTGAACTAAATTCATGTACAAATTGTTTCAAGAAAAAACAAAAATGGGGGGGGGGGCTATTTAGATTTACAAATTTGCCAAAAGAGGAAAGGGTATCTTCGTACATGTGGACAGAGATGTTCCCTTTTTTTCTTTTTTTAAACAAGTGTTAAAAATAAAGTCATTTTGTGTGATTTGCTGATGAACCTTGGATATCCCAATACGGTAAGCAAACATAGATAACACTGAATAGATGGGGTAGCAGTGGCCCCTTTAATCATTTCATGATCTTAATTGTCATGTCAAACCATTTAAATTTGGTTTAAAGTCAATTTGCAATTGCTACTGTCACCTATGACACAAAAATTATCAATGAACTTCACTTTCATCATCTTTCTCTGCCATGATCTGCCTAATTCAAGGGAGGGGGAACCTTGAAGGGGCATGTCAATTTTCTTTTCAGGTTTTTCCTTTGGGTAAACAAAATGTAAAGTAAATGGGTCAAGTGGCAAAGCTATTTTGTTATCTCCAGTGATTCATTTCAATTCATTTTGATATGATTTCTACCCACTACCCACAGGTGAGTACGTTATCCTGATCGATGACATCACAGAGCCTCCGTTCCTTGGTTTCCGTCTCCCCACTGCCTTCTGCCTGGCCAAGGTGGCCTTCCCCAAGAAATCCAAGAAGGTGGCAAAGTCCAAGAAGGATTCAAAGTCCAGCACCAAACTGGCTGCAGGTGGCGACTGATTGACAGACGGACAGAAATGGCCTTCCCCAAGAAATCCAAGAAGGTGACAAAGTCCAAGAAAGATTCAAAGTCCAGCACCAAACTGGCTGCAGGTGGCGATTGATTGATTGACAGACGGACAGAGATGACATATCCTCTGTTGAACAAAAGACACTCATTGACATGTGATTGGAAGAAGTGCCTCTGAACCGAAGGGATCCTGGTACCCGTTTCACAAAGCCTTTTTTCAATGACAAATGACAAAAATCAGTGACAAATTTGTTGATAACCAATCAGAAGCAAGGATTTCAGTAGCTTATAACAAAAGCTCTCATTTGTCACTAATGACAAGTTTTGTGAAACGCCCCGCTGAAGCAAAGATACTTTCCAAAGAGAGATGGACCACCTGCTATGGATATTGTGAAGCGCTCATGGAAAATTTGCTGCAAAGGCACTTGAAGAAATATGGTATGAAAGTGAAGACTTGCTTTGTCCAGAAATAAAAGGCAGAGTTGTGACTTCTGTGGCCTGTAGAGGGCGCTTCAGTCAGCAGCAGATCATTAATTTTAAGAAAAACTGTTACTTTCTTTACTTCCCGCGTGTAAGTGTCCATTTCCAGGTTCCCATTGATTTGTGGCAAAAGGCAATGAACTGTGTATGTTTTCACAAATATACTCTTCAATTCAGTTAAATGTGCATCTAAACAGTTTATTACACTTCTGCAGAAATAGGCTTCGGAAGTTTATTTCAATGCTAAATTTAATTTTGGTAAAAAATGCTGTTGCATTCAGGTCTCCTATGTAAAATTGCTGATTGACTGAAATTATCAAGTGACCAAAGTCATCCAGTAAGAGTATATATACTGTTTGCAGTAAAACCACTCTTCAATGCACAACCTGTTAACTTTCAATGGGGACACTTATTGAAAGTTGTTAAAAGTACAGGACCTAATAATGCCAAATGAATTTATACATGTATTTATGGTATATGAAAGATATATATATATATATATATATATATATATAACAATAGGATATTTATCTGTAAATAACTAATATACCTATCTTCCACATGATTGTGTGTGGTTGTAGATTTAATATTTCTGTTTGTACTCTGTACTACCTCCCTTTTCTTTCCTGCCTTCATGTATTTTATAGCAGTAAATGTTAACAGTGTAGAATTTAGTGCCATTGTCCAGATTTAAACCCTGCCCAGACATCCCGCTCGAAAAACAAACTTAACCTTTACTGAAATACTCTGTCCTTTTTCTTTTTTGTTATACACCTTCAGATGAGTAGGAACAGTAAGCATATTTGACTTAATTGTGCTCTCATATTTGTACAACTTTCTAAACATAATGAGGATTATTTATTTTTAATATATCACCCTGATTTATTATCCTCTTCAAAGTGTCATGTTACTCTCTGCTTTGTTATCCATATATTGAGAGAGATAGTTGTGACACACACACATACGTGATCAAAGGTCAATTCGTGGAGCTCCAAATAGTTCCCTTTTACATACAATCTCTATTAGAGAGAACTATTTGGAACTCCATGAATTGATCTCATGTGTGTGCGCATGTCACAACTATCTCTCAATATATACGCTATGGTCCATATTGTAACTGTGTTGTTTTTTTACTGATGTTTATATATGGGAATTTTAGTCCATGTTTGTATACTATGATAAGTAAAGGATGAGTATTAAAGCAGGAATGATGCAAATCGTACATGAATTTGCACGTTGTCATTAATGCAGTATTGTACACACTACATATACAAACTGGAAGGGGAGAGAGAGGGGGCAGGGGCAGGGGCAGATGAGAGAGAGAGAGTGGAATGTGTAGTGGAGAGAGACACAGGAAGAAAAGTTAAGAGAAGTTAGATGGTTGGGGTAGAATAGAGAGAGAGGGGGGTGAGGGGTTAGAGGAGAGAAACAGAGTTGAAAGATGGGGTAAAGAGAGTGGGTAGAGGAGAGAGAGCAATTAAGTGGGAGGGATGGTGGAGAGAGAGACATGGTAAAAAGAAAAAAGGAGAGGGTTGGTGTAGTGGAAAGAGACAGAATAAAAAGGTGAGAGCAATGGGGGTACTATTGTAGTGGAGAAAGAGTGAGAGATTGGGTGAAACTGAAGACGGTGTGTTGAGAGCAAGTTTAAAGATAAACTTGAGTTCTGGTAATGCGATTGCATCGTGAAAGAACAGGTGTGGAATGGATCAGAAAAGTTGATCATATAGCATGTAAGTAATGGTGTGTAATGCAAGTTTCTGCAGTCATCAAAATCATCATAAATTTGGCAGAGTCTTGGTAAAGTAACAATCACTTACACAGAAAGATGTATATAGGACAACACACATGGTGTCGGGGCTAGTACTACCCTGATTTCCTTATCTTTCTATGCTCATTACTCAGCCAGTATACATTTTCTTCCAAAATTGTTTGGCACATGACATTTATTTGTAATCTTGAACATTCAGTGTAAGTTTCGTTAGATTCTGTGAGCATTCATTTTCTTTTTTTACCAGAACTCAAGATTATCTTTAAGAAAAGAGGACAGGGAAAGGGTGACGACGAATTAAAAGAAAATGAGAGGCGACCGAGGTTGGGAGAGGTGGGAAGAAAGAAAGAAATAGAATAGTCGGAGAAAGCGAAGGCAAGTGCAAGGGGAGGAAAAGAGAGAGAGAGGGAGAAAGGAGAATGAGGGAAAAAACAAAAAGTGAACTTAATTAAGAATAAATCTGACGATCTGTATGTGTGTGAGAGAAAGAGTTAGAGAGATGTGTGTATGTAAGACATGTAAAGAGTGCAGGGGAAAATGAAAGAGTGTTACAACTTGAAAGAAGAGAGATATCATCATCATCATCACCACCATCATCATACAGATTATATAATTTGAAAGAATGGAAATCATCATCGTCACCGTCATCATCATCAAAATCATTATCACTCACACCACCACCATCATCATCGCCAATATCATCACCACCAACTCATCATCACCACCACAACCACCGATCTACCACCACCACCACCATCATCATGTAGTTAATATAAATTTGAAAGAAGGGGAGATCATCATCAGCAGCACCACTACTTTCATCATCATCATCATTCTCATAACCACTGTGATTATCATTATCCCTCTTTTATGTTCTCTCAAACCGCATATGTTTGTCTCTGCAAGGAATGACCTTAGAGTTGGAATATCCCTTTTGTTTACAAAAAAACACCTTTATTCATATATAAAATGTAATTTCATACAAAGCTTACTGTTTAGAGTTGATACAGAGACTGCTGACATCATTAATACAGGTATTAAATGTCTTCAATTTTGCATAGACGTGTAGTGGGTAGTGGGTCACTTCTTATAACAAAGGCATGTGTCAGTAACAGGCCTGCACCCCCCCCCCCCCCCAAAAAAAAGGGTTACCTTTGGAAGACTTGTGAGTCTCAAATATATATATATATGTGTGTGTGTGTGTATATACCTCACAATCGTCAAGACATTAGGAAGACATGTACATGTAATGTATATTACAGATACGAAACAAATACGAAGCATAAAATATAAACTTATGTGATATAATAATATGAATACAAGTAGAAAATCATTTAGTCAATACACAATTATCGCATGCCTCCCCCTTTTTTTGAATAAATATTATTAATTGTCCATTTCTATTTTCTGTAGTTAGTACTATTTCGTAAGCTGAGCTATATATTTGCTACTCGAGATATTGCAACCATTAATAATTAATATACAAGAAAACAGTTTGACCTTTTTTCAATTCATTTTGTCAATGAGCGATTTTGTTTTCGTCCAAAATACTCCCCCCCCCCCCCCCTTTTCCCTTCTTGGGACAAAATTATCAAAGAATTTAATATTGATAAGACACGATTAGTGATAAAGATGATTTTGAAAAATAAAGATAATTCAATTTACTCAGTCAAGACTCATCAGCATCAATGCTGTTCTTCCTGAAGAACCTGCGATTGTACAATCACCCCATCAATCTCCAGGTACCCTTGGATTGAGAATCAAGTGACTGAACCTGTATACCACAACACTTTCAGACAATAATGGTAAGACCGTAAGTAAAGAACAGACATGTATGGAAACATTCCTCGAGCTTGCGAGACCGAAGAAAATCGACTGACTGTTTTAAAAGCACACTCGTTTCTACTGAAAACGACCGATATAATTGCTATATTAGTGGGGCAAGTACACGCCCTCTTCTATATAGTTGATTGGGCAAAGAAAGAGAGGTAGGGTAGGGAGGATTGGGGGGGGGGGGTTAGAAGCGAAAGTGCGAGTGAAAGAAAGAGACAGACAGACAGAAAAAAGTTAGAGAGAGACAGAGATATACACAGAGACGGAATGTAGAAGAAAAAGGAGAACAGACCCCCCCCCCCCCCTCCCCACTCTATCCTCACGCACGATGACTCGATCCGCGCTCTCCCTCGCATTTCATCCTGGCCTCGTAAGACTACCAGTCCTCCTCCTGCACCCCCCCCCCCCCCCCCCCACACCACCCCACCCCATCCTTCCTCTAAATGGACCCATGCCACACCACTGGCTGAAACAGTAAAAGATATGAATAACACTACAGTGGAATCTCTTTATAACTTGTTCGAACCTCCGGACCAAGGATTACCTTAATGATATATGTGATATATCAAAGCTGAAAGACAAAGAAACAAACAAACATAACGAAAACAATAAAGAAGTGGGATCGGCAAAATTACCATATGAATCAAAATGAAAGTTTTTTCTATATTAGAGTGTTCTTTATGATATGTTTCATTGCTTAAGACGATCGAATCCCGGGTTTCAGTCAATTTTATTAATGCAGACGAGAAGACTATAAAGATAATTACAAACAAAACAAGGAAAATACAAACATGCTACGAGATAAATGGGCATGAATCCGTCAAATCGCCTTCTTTATGAAAACAAGGCGAATATATAGGTTTTAGTTTTCGGGTATGACTGTCCATATTACTTTACTGTATAGCACAACTTTTCAAGTCTAGCAAAATCCAACTGACACCTTTTTATATATCTGACGTTGATTTACCCTTCGATCGTCTAATATCATCCGATCATAACTGATTACCTTAACGGAAGCTATGCTCGTTCCTAGGTCATATTCATGGAGCGCAAAAATTGTTCCCTCCCATACAGATTGTGTGAGAGTGATCTGCATAAATTGTCCTTTTAACGCGTCACAACTATCTCGTTCAATACGCTATGGGACTACCCAGCCCAATACACAGAGTTTGGCCAACTTGTGTTTCATTAATAATCAACATGGCGTATATTATTTTGTTATGTGCTTGCCCATGCACAGAACAGTATTCGCCAATATTTTTCCAATTCGAACCGGATTGGTCACATTCTCTTTATCAAAACCAATTGTCTCTGGGACTAATACCATGCCGACGCCATTTTGTATTTTATCAAGTGGCGGTGGGTCGATCAAGCCTCGTTGCCGATCGCGGTCAGGTTATCGAGCGCGATCAACTTTTTCCTCTTCATCATCGAGATGGTCTTGATGATGCCGGCCAGCGTGAGGGAGCCGAGGATGATACAGTAGATGACGAAACGATCCATGGGGATGCCGAGACCTTCCACGGGGATACCGGCTACAGCGGCCTTGGCCCGTGCTCGACTGATGGAGTCCATGATGATGCAAGCGCCGACGATGACGACGACGCCTACCGGCATGAAGATGGCGATGAGGCAAAAGTTGACTTTCTGAACCATCTAGATAGAGATAAAGAAGGAGGCAAGAGAGAGAAGAAAGAAAGAATTATGAGAGAGCAGGCATGGGTCTTCAAGATCAGCCATTGGATATAATTATGGATGTGAAAAATGGGATATATTTTAGTGGTAATGCAGGGCAATGGTCACTGAAAGGTGTGTAGTGCACATGGCACCAAATTTTAATCTGGATCCCCCCTAAAAAAAAAAAGGTACAACTACAACAACAACATCAAGCAAACATGGAGATAATGTGGGGATGATATATTATATTCTTTATATAAATACTGTTCCAATGTGTTGTCTTTAACGTTACCAACGTAATCTCTCATTTATTATTCCAATTGTTATAAAGGTTTTAAAACTAGTTCACAGGAGGGATTAAGACCACCCTGCAAGGTCACTGAAAGGTGTTTATCTCATAAAATCAGCTCTCAATTAACATAAGAAAAAGAGGATCATGGGGACCAATGGTCACCGATTAGGGATTGTTTGCTATATAGAGGGCGCAAGTAGCTATGCGTAGGGCAGTGGGCCTTTAATACCTACCAATTCGGCCTGTAGATCTTTGATATTTCTGATGCTGTAGTCAGTTTTACAAGCTTCACAACGGACCTTGCCGCTACTCTTTAGCCAGGACTCGAGGCAGATCTCGTGGACGAGGAGCGATGTACCGTCACAACCACACGGTGTTACCAGTTCAGTGCTCCCTAAATGTGCAACGAAAATGATCACCACGACATCGGGACGTAAACAAATACAAAAATAAAATTGATTAATAGGTTTCGTTATATTGGGGACTCGACCAACAGTGGTGATGGATACGAGATAGTGGTAAGAAAATTACACATTTAGTATATGAGCTTGCCTCTTTCCTAGCTGGTAGAACGTTTACGATGAGAATCAAAGGCAAGATCTATAAGGCCTATGGTAGAATTAACAACGATGGTGTGACGTCATCATCATGGGCCAAGTCTTCAAGGTTTGCTGGTTCCAAACGATTTTTGTGTTGATCACACCAGGCCCAAAACATTGAATTCGCCCTGCTCCAGCCCGTTGCTTGAATGAATTCGCAGTGAGCCTCATGCGCAGGCTCAGTTTTATAGAACCAGTAACCAGGACGACGAGCGAGTATGACGTTATAGCAATTTGGTTCCCTATATGGTTCAGGAACTTGGATTGAGAAGACAGCAGAAATGGTATTTAGAGGAGAACAGAAAGAGCCATGATACGGAAGGTGTGTGGTGTGATGCACGGTTATAGGACACCTACCCCCTGGACATCCACCCCCCCCCCCCCCGGATAACCACCCCAGTCAACTACCCCTTAGGACAACTACCCCCTAGAGCAACCACCCTCTAGGACGACTACCCCCGGGATAACTACCCCCGGACAACTACCCCCTACGACAACTACCCCCCCCCCCCCCTCGGACATCTACCCCCAGACAACTAACCCCTACGACATCCTCTAGGACAACTACCCTCTCGAAAACTATCCTAGGGGGTAGTTGTCTGGGGGTACTTGTCCGGGGGTACTTGTCCTAGGGGTAGTTGTCCTAGAGGATGGTTGCCCTAGGGTAGTTTTCTAGGGGTAGTTGCCCGGGAGTAGTTGTCCTGGGGGTAGTCGTCCTGGAGGGTGGTTGTCCTAGGGGATAGTTGTCCTAGGGGCAGTTGTCCTAGGGGGAATTATTGACTGGGGTGGTTATCCGGGGGGTAGATGTCCAGGGGTTAGGTGTCCAGATACGGTCAATCATGTACTGTTCGATAGAAAGAACACAATTGAGCTCATGTAAAGGGTCTGGCAGCAACTGTGATGGAAGTTGTAAGAAGTGGATTGAGAACGACGGGTCATGTGTTGAGAAGGGGTGATGATTAAGCTGTGAAAAGAGCGTGTGATCTGGAAGTGGATGGCATAAGGGAAAGGAAGACCTACAATTTGATGGAAAGATATGCTGAAAAAATGTATAGCAGCTAGAGAAGGTTGGTCTAAAAGAAGTGGCTGCTCGTGACAAGAGGAAGTGTATGGAGGGAGAGTCAGCATAGCGCGAAAGTTATGCAGTAACCACCCCCCCCCCCCCCCCCCATTCCCCGAAAAAAACACAATAGCAAACGGTTCTATCGTGGATTCCTTTTTTTTTGTGCACGAGAAGCCATAGAAAGTTATGCCACTTTCGCTTTGCCATGTTTACCGATGTGATAAGTAAGAATGGTTAGTTTGCTCAACAAACAAATACTTTCACTGAATCAAACTCACACCAAATACATTTGAACACAGTCATACGGCTGTACACTATTAATGGATTGCAATTGGCCTTTGTACATAAATGTAAAGATTTGTGCGAATTATCAGAATTGTTCCCTGATTGATGTCGTTGTGACTTGTGTTCAGGTTTGATTATTGGGATTAACCCATATAGGTACCCGTTACTGTGCCCTTTAAAACCTTACATACTTAAACCTATTATGTGGGACTGTAGAACGATCACTCCCGCACAAGTACTAGTGTTAACTGTAAAAGGAAAGTTTTTTAAAAATCTACGCAAGTAGGATTTCTTTTACACGAACGCAGCTATTTCCGAAAAAATAACTCAAGGGCAATTTCAATATCCTTTGATATATTCAATACAAATCATGTTCAGATTACGTAATACCTCATTTTCTTGTTATTTTAATTCACTTTCAAGTGTTCCTTTACTGACTTAAAGGTACTATGTCCCATTTACAGGCCAAAAAAATGAAAAAGTTAAATTCCAACTACATTTGAAAGATAGTACTTATTTAGAACTTCCCTAAAAAAAGTTGGGCTTGAAAATGTCTTCAAGTGGGAAAATAACGACTATTAGTTGTCAAATCGACTTTAGGGCTATAGGGTGGTATTCTCATAAGTTAAGCCCGGACTAAGTCCAGACTAAACAAGAATTTTAGTTCACACTTCTATGGAATGCTAGGTTTCATCTTCCTCCTTCAATATTCATGACAAAGATAATCGACCCAAAACTTCGTTGAAATTCAGTTCATACTCATATTATCTTTTTTTTCCCATTTCATTGCAAAATTAATTTTTTGACACTTTTCATTGAAGGATTAAAATAATCTATACAGGGTAAATTAGTTTGCAACAGGCACTCCATAAAAGTGTGAACTAACTAAGTATGCGCTAACTTAGTACGCGCTACCGGAATACCACCCATAGAGCCCAGAAGTAATAGTCTTGATTTTCAGACAATTGTACCGAATGGTCATACGTTTTATGCTGCGCAAAGATTCAATCAGTTTAATCTTGGCCATCACAAGAAGTGGGTTATTGATGTAGACAAATGCTCATGTACCCTTTTACAACTCTTTTCATGTATGTTATTACCAAAGAAGAAAAAAGCCAGTCAGTCACTCAATAGTGTCTGACAGTGAAGTCTAGCAAGTAAACAGGTTTCCTTGCATAATTTGAATATTAGGACACTACTAACGTTTAAATTTCACAGATAGGACATACATGATATATTCATAATTCCTGCAAAGTTCTACAGAATTTGAGGTTGGCTGCAAAAGGGACCTTCAAGTAAAATACAATTGTAATCATATCCTTAATTGTAATAATGCAGAATCTTGACCAGCCATATTTGATTTGTTTTTAATATATCATTTCTGGCAGTTTATACGCACTAGTAACAATGTGTATTGCCTATTTTAATTTGAAGTATATTTGCAATACTCTTGTTTGGACACTCATGATTATTGTTATTCATATAAATATACTTATTCGGCAGTACTATTCTATCGTTATTTTTAGATATTTATCTTGATTATTTCTTGTTTGTTTTAAATATGTCATTTGATGTACCATTATCATTTTGATGTATTTACATTGTCTAACACTGCCCAAATGAAAATCAGTCTTAACTGTTTGGGCTTTTTTAACAGTGTATAAATAAAGATATCAATTCAATTCAATTCAAGATCGCACATTTCGATAGGCATGCATAATTATGTGACCCACAAGCCTATTGACAATGCCTTGGGTTGTTGTTTTTTGTAATATATAGCGATCGTGTTTAATACATGTACTATCATTTGCTAGATAGATGACTTGATTCAGGGATTTTTTAAACATACTTTCCTGCCAATTTGGGATTTCAAAAAGGAAAAGGAAGTAGAATTAGAGTAGAAATTGATTGACATGCGATTTTCAAAACAAAAAGTTGCTCGGTGAAATATATATTAATTCAATCAAAATGTTATTTGAAAGTTCATGAAATTTACTTTATGAAAATAATCTTTTTTTCTGGGATAAATACAAATGTATCGTCAATTCAAACATGGATGCGTGGTATTACTATTCACCAATTTGCGTGAATATAGAAACTGGGTATCATGCCCTTTCCAGTCAAAGTAAACGCATATTACATTACTTTTCATTCATGTGTGAATAAGCAAACTGGAAATTCAATGGTTTAGGTATTACCAAACACCATAATACAAACAAACCTGAGAATATAACGAGAGAGAGAGAGGGAGGGAAAGAGAAACACATTTAGATTTTAGACAGGTAATAATCACAAAAGATTTTGTCAACTCATGCGTGGATTTGACCTTGGTAGCGAAAACTGTGCTTTCATCTCGTATACAATAAAATGCATTTAAGATAATATTGACGTTAGGTATCGTGTTTTGACAGGGATCGTTTTCAGACTTATGGTTTCCCCGCAGTGCTGGTTTCTCTATTCTTACCATAATGTCGCAGTCCATATAAGGTCAGATAACTTAAATCCCGTTAATCTGGGAAAGATTTCCTTTTGCGGCAGCCACCTAAAATCTAACCCAACCCTAACCCTAACCTTATCCCTAACCCTAACCCTATTTTATCATAGATATATCATTCTAAGCTGTACCCGCATTTTTTTTTTCAATTTGGGTGGCTGTCGCAAAAGGAGATCTTCCCTTAATCTGTTCTTGTAATCAAAGTAAATGTAATTTACGAGTCATATTTCTAATTTGAAATAACGATAACGTGAAACGGTTGTATGATCTTGAATTAATGTATTTTTTTAATTTTAATGAACGGTAAAGATATATATTTCGTTTCAATATTTGTTACCCTTTATGTTGTTACCCTATTACTGTTACTCATGTGTTGATTTTTGTATTATGTTTGATGTATCTGTAATTTGAAAAGTATGTACAAATGTATTTGAATGTATGTAGAAGTTTAGTTAATTCCTTATACATTTTAGAGAAAAAGAAAATGCAAAAGAAAGAAACATATTCTTAAACTATATTTTATGGAAGTCCAATACACGTAGTACAAACACGAGAGTGGTCAAGATCTTAAAACTAAAGTGTCATCGGAATAATTCATGTTATTTGGGGCATCAACGGAGAGAAAAGACAGAAGAAGAAAGTGAAAAGGAAGAAGGAGGAGGATGACGATGATGAGGAGGAGACAAGAGGAAGAAGAAGAAGAAGATAAAGAAGAAGAGCTGGGAGAGGATAGAAAGAAGAAAACATAACAAATAGCAGTAACCATGGAAGAATCCTGGATCGAAGAACAGGCTTAGACCTACAACATCGTGTATTAAAGTAAAGTAAGTAAAGTAATAAACAAATAAAAGTACCGTTCTATCCACAATTTGACACTTGCCTATAATTATTTATTATCTCACCTTTCCTATCCCATATGCTCTTGCAGTATGTACACACATTCGGGTACGTATACTTCTCGAAATTCTTGATTCGTGGAGAAGGAGGTTGAGAAGTGACCAAGCTCCCATTCTTTCCTTCATGACTGTCAACACCGCTGTCGCCTTCAAACGCACGATTGTCGAAGGCTTTCGGCGACGTCACCGAGTATTTCTTTCCTTTCCCACCCATTTCTATTCTTGTCTCGCTTGGATTCCAATCTCATGCGCCTATCCTCAGTCTCTGAACTGTCTTAGGACCAGCTTTCCGTAGATAACAAACTGAAACAAAATTCCCATAAATCACAGGTCGATCATCTTATAATATAGGCGTTCTGATACACCGATTCAACAATAGTTATTGTCTTCGCGTTTCGCTCGGCGACTTCAATTTGACGACATTTCTTTATCCTCGATGTGTTGGCGCTGGTATACACAGGATAGTCCGTATTCGCGTTGTTCATTCTCCCAAAAGAATCGCTCGTACCAACTTGGCATTCATAAGGTGTTCCCAATGATCCAAAACAAATGCTAGATCAGCAATATTCATTGTTGGGATAACTACCCCAAAATGAAGTCGATAATGTGTCTCTCCACGTTATATGAATGTCTATGTATAACTATAAATCCCCGCGCACTGCATGGCCTGTCTATGTGAATCTACATGGGTAAAATCTGTTTTAAAATCCTTACAAAATCAGTCGAGTGTAACGTTTGTTTAGTTGGAGAATACAATACAAGGGAATCGAGACTGGGACTGAGATTTAGTTGAAAAGCGCATATTCTTTCGAGAACAATTTGGGCGATTTTAAGTAACTTATCCAAATAGAAATGAATGCCCCAGTTTACATTTTTATGTCAAGTTAATATAGGCGGTTCCGCATACTCATGATGAAAACGATATTCAATCAATTATTTCAACATGCAGATAAGGGCGCTACGATAAGAGCAGAGTGCCTACTTTCCATGCACCTACATTTATCACACCGCAAATTTGTACCTAGTATATACTGCCTTTACAGCCCTGTATAAGAACTTATTCCGCCCGATAAAATCGACCCCGGCCTAGTACATTAATAACAATTATATTTAAAGAAATCACCCTTACTGCCTTCAGATAACTACTTTGCGGCAACTAAATGGGGAGAGCCATATTAATCCGTTATAGGTGTCCGAGGTGGTATCGCCTAAGCCGAAGTTGTCCGGAAGTAAATGTCCGGGGTAGTTTTCTATTTTAAAAGAATGGTAAATGAGGTAGTAATCTTATTCCCCTCCCAACAGAATCCGGCTCACAGATCGGAATCGAACCAGGAACCTTAAAGGACTTCTTCAGTCAAACTTGCTTTAGTGACCACCTATCTACAAGGACCACCTGTCTACAAAAAACACACTTTTTGTTTCCCTTGAAAATTGATTATCATTGAAACTACTAAAGAACCTGTCTTCAAAGACCACTTTTTGTGTTACACTTGGGCGGTCGCCATACACAGGTTTGACTGTATATGCAAGACAGTGCGCGGTTGAGCGAATCTTGGATATCGCACAACAGCTCTGTTATTTTCGTTGATGTGATTTTTGGCCTATTCAGTCCGGGATCCTCCGATCTCGAACCGAAGGTAAAATGCTCTTACACTGTTTATGGTCTTTATGCCTATTCTTGTAAATCATTTGACCATACATACTTAAGGAATTCTATACGTACGGGATGTGTTTACACTGGTTTAATTATAAGTTGAGAATATCTCAACTTGATCAGAATAATTGAGGTGTTAACACTAAAGGGATCTCTTGCGAGTAAAGTGAGTGTACTTGTTTGATCAAAAGAATTGTCTTGAGAAGTAAATAAATCTTAGATTAACCAGTTTTCCTGATGAAATCCAGACCATTATTATGCAGCTTAACAATAATGATGTGGCATATAATAACATTTATATAGCGCTTATTTAATACTAATGTTTCTTTTCGCTGTTATTATCACCCTCCATGAGCCAAGCGCCCCGATGAGCTCTGGCATTCGAGGAATGCCTTCCTATGAGGTACACATTTATATCACCTGGGTGGAGAGTGGAAAATGCAAATTGATGTCTTGCTAAAGGACAATCGTACTTCGGCGGGGCTCGAACCGCGAACCATGACACTGTCCGGTGACGTATCCACTAGGCTAGACCATGCCACTTCTACACGTCTACTACATCTCTTGCTTAATCCATTGTCTACTAGAACAGAGTGGTCTCGGTATTACATCTATGGGGAATATAAGGCTATCATTACCCAATTGGTTAACTGCGAATTAACATGACGTGCATCAATCGTTGAACCCGGAAAGATCAAGATTATGCTTACTCTGCCATCTTTGGAAAACAACGGTCGATGCAGATGTTAATTTTTGTCCTTTAGATCTCTGAACCGTTTCCTTTCTTCTCGAGACAGAGTGTACACAATGTACAATGTGGCATATGATAACATTTATAAATCGCGAATAACACTATTGTATCTAATCACTGTAACTTTATTACTCCGCCATTAGCGAGCGACCCGATAAAGCGCTCTGGCATTCGAGGAATATCTTCCTAAGAGGTACCAATTAACAAAATTAATGTAAACAAAGAACAGTTTCCGTTTTTATTTTTGTAATAGGTACTCACAGGCGCGTACGCAGGGGGGGGGGTTTGGGGGGTTAAACCCCCCCCCCCTTTGGAATTGTTTTGTGTGTAAACCCCCCTAAAAAAACCTAAACCCCCCCCCCCCCTCCCCCCCCCCCTTTTGGATTGACCTTACCCCCCCCCCAACGGAGCAAAATGTCAAATTTCCAAATTTCGAGACCAAAAAAAAAGTGTCCTCTTACCCCCCCCCCCCCCCCCCCCCCCCCCCCCCCCCCCCCGCTTATTCAGCGGCTGGCTGAGTCGTTGCGAAATTTTCGGACCGATTTATAAATGTTAAAACCCCCCCCTTGAAAAAATCCTGCGTACGCGCCTGGGTACTCATTGTTATTTCCAAATTAGGCCTATGATGTGTCAAGCATTTTTCTCTCTCGCTCGCTCGATCGATCTTCCTCGTTCGTTTGAGTTGGGACCTCCGTGATAATGACGATTTGGTTTATAGTTATACCGATATTATGACGATATTTTTTCTGGGACCTGTTCTTTAGCGTCACCATCCGAAAAAAAACTGACTCTGCTTCGATTAACAAGTACACATTGAAAGCCATGCATCAAGGAAAGCTGGTTTAAAAAAAGGTCAAGCGATTAAGGCACTGGAGAGGGAGCCATTCAATTATGTTGTCCACTGGTATTGTTGTCCACTGGTAAAGAGAGAGACAGACAGAGAGCGACACACACATAAGGTAGAAAATGTAACGAAAAGGAGAAAAAGACCCCCAAAAGAAAGGGGGAGATAAACATGAGAGAGAGGGACCGGAGGGAGTGAGGGGTTGATGGTGAAAACAAAGAGGGCATGTGTTTTGTCATGATGCTCGTAGTATTTTCCTGCTTCTCTTGTTTATAGCCATTATTAAGTAGTCAGTAGATTTTATTATACTTATTTGTATTTATATTTTTCTCAGTTCTTTAGTTAGTTTAGTTTGTAAGCATTTGTATATATGCAGTACTCTTATCTGATGAGTTTGTTCATTTAGGACAAACTCATAAGCTACTCATGACGAACCTTAATTCCACATGCCTTGCTTCCCCTCATCTATCTATTGTTACGCAATATTATGTCAACGTGTTATATTCATGTCATATTGTAATGTGTGTTATGAAAGAAAGATAAATAAAACTTAAACTTGAAGTTGAACTTGAAGAGAGCGGGGGAAATGAGAAAGAACCTAGGAATATCTATAAGAGAATGACGAAAGGGAGAGGGAGAGAGGGGAGGGGATTGAAGGAAAATGAATGAGAGCGATATAAATCCGAGAGGGAGTGATCGAGGAAAGAATAGGGAAAAGGAAAAAGAGGTGGAGCCTAAGAAGGCGAGTAAAAGACAGAAAGTGAGTGTGTGGATGTAGCCGTGCGTTGTTGGGTGTACTGTGTGTGCGTGTGCGTGTGTGTGTGTGTGTGTGTGCGCGCGTGAGAGAGAGAGAGGGGATGGGAGGGAGAAAGATATACAGTGCGTCCCAGAAAAAACGAAACCGAGAAATATCGATGTTTTATCATAACTTAGTCATAATTATAAATAATAAATGACACCTATTTGTAAAGCTTAGATCCTCTTCTTCAATGTGATGCAACTCACATGATGCATATTTCAAGCACGAGTGATTAAAAGCAATTTGAAGAGAGGAAACCAAAAAGTCATTTGGCGGACGGTATCTGAATTTCAAAGTGAAAGTCACATTTTTAAAATGTTCATTTTCGGCCCTTTCATGTGACACCTCAATCAGCAAAAATGAGCCAGGAATAATAAAGTTTTGTTTGTTTAAAGTCATGCTGCATTTCCATAATTTAATTAAACGAATTCGTATTCACTGGCTGCCTGCCGTAGTAACAAACAGAGTTAACAAAAGACTTAACTCCGTTTCGTTAACTATCAGCCATGCACAAAAAAGACGGAAGACTTGATGCATGGGTGATCGTCAACGAAACGGAGTTAAGTCTTTTATCAATTCTGTTTGCTGCTACACCAAGCAGCTAGTGAGAACGAATTCGTTTAATCAAATTATGGAAATGCATTACTTTAAACAAACAGAACTTAAATAACCTTATTAATTATAATCGTGATTAAGTTATAATAAAACATCGATAATTCTCGGTTTCGTTTTTCTGGGACGCACTGTTTAGGACTATATGAGAATGATAGATAGAGAGAGAGAGAGAGAGATCAAAGAGAAAGGGGAGAATGAGAATGAGAAAGAGAAAAGATGCGAGCGAGAGAGCGGGATATCACTCTTTGTATCTAAATGCTAAGAGCCATGAAAATGAAAAGAAGCGGGAAATTTAGCCTTGTACATCAGGTCACATCAATTCAATTATGCTAACAAACACTAATTCCCCCGAAAAACAAACAAAGCAACACAAACAAACCAACCAAACAACCAAACCACCTGTAGGCATAGTATCATTAAAGGGCCACTCTAACCCAACTTGCATAGCCTTTCAAAACATGAATACACCTCTACTTATTAATAATCCAGCCTCTGATTTTTCAGAAAATCTCTAAATTGACCAAAAATGATAATAACCATCCATTTTTCACTCTTCTCACGCTTGCTGGGCTATCCTCCTCGAAAAAGGTAATATGGTCTCGTGGCTTGATGACGCAATTGACGTCATTGCGGGCATGTGCGATTAAATAATTTCATAATTAGGAATGACGAATTTGCCAGAAACGTACTAGGATTATCAAATGCACATTATTTTCGGATACAATTTTTTTCTTCAATTAATATCATAGTTTGCCTTTTTAAAAACATTTTAATGCCTAAATCACCCTCCTTTTCACCGGAGAGGTGCCTGCAGTGACGTCAAATGCGTCATTACCAAAACTGCTTTTTTTTCTGAGCGTTCTGAGTCGTCATTTTTAAAGCTATATTCCAGAATCATTGATGATTTTTCAGAAAAATCATTGTCATGTTCGGAATCTCTGTCAAAAATGGTTCTACGTGTCTTTTTTTCCCATTTTTTTTTTAGCCGTTTTGGTTAGAGTGGCCCTTTAAAAGACAAACAACAAGAACAAAA